TATACATTAAAAAGTAATTAAATTTAGATAATCAATATATAGAAGAGATAGTATTTTTATTAAAATATCTCATCCTTATAAAAGATCAAAACTTTAGAAACTCAAATTACAAGTAGCAATAAAAATATATTTTAAAAGTAGAATTAGATTGACATTGTCAATGTATTTTAAAACTAATTTTTCCGACGTCTAATAATTAAGGATTACTTTCTCAGTTTTCTATTTAACCTATTCCTAAATTTTATTCTTTTTCATTTTTAAGAACAATAATAATTATAATGATGATGATGATGATGATGATAACAACAACAAATAATAATAATAATAATAATAATAATAATAATAATAATAATAATAATAATAATAATAATAATAATACTTGATGGGATCTGATTTTAATAAGTCTTGATTTGATCTGATCTGATCTGATGGAATCTGATCTGATATGATCTGATCTGATTGGATCTGATCTGATTTGATTGGATCTGATCTGATCTGATCTGATTCGATCTGATCTGATCTGATCTGATTCGATTTGATCTGATCTGATCTGATTCGATCTGATCTGATCTGGTCTGGTCTGATCTGATCTGATTTTAATAAGAATAAGAAAAAATAAGTTGAACAGAACGGGGCCTTATTTTACCTTTGGGGCTTTGGTCTAGCCCTCCCCTAACGTGTTGTACCTTGTATCCCGATTTTTACACATTTTTCTGATATAATTATAATAAAGAGCGTAGTGTTCATTCTTAAAAAAGCAATACTCATTCTCAAATAAGGAAATGCTCATTCTCAAATAAAGTTTTGTTCAATTATTTCACAATTGAAAAATTTAGTACCATCATCATCCTTACGCTTCTTCATTGCCCCATTTCGTCAAATCTTCCTCTATCCGATTTCTTAAGTTCATTCCATCCCTTAAATCACTTCAACTTCTTTAGTCCTACCTAGGGTTTCCAGCTTCCGGTAATGCCCCTGCCACCATCGCCTCCCCTCGTCCTTATTGGTGATTTTAGTGTCATCGGTTTCTTTTGTGTAATTGGATTTACTTTGATCGGACAAGAATTTAAATAGACGTTTTCAAAGGAGTTAGGAGGCGCGGAGTGCGCGCTCGTTCAACAATATTATAAATTCATTGTGGGTTCGGGGGCGGCGGCCCCCGGGTAGCGGGGTCCAAGGGGCGGCAGCCCTTGGCGGGGTCCAAGGGGCAGAGCCCCTAGCCAGGGTCCAAGGGGCAGAGCCCCTGCCGGGACAGCTTGGAAATTTTTTATTTCGGACGTTGTTTCTTTTTGAAAATTCTTAAGATTTTTGTGACCGGAGTCCAAAACGGTAAAGGACTCATACACAGTGGATAACGTCGAAATAGAGTCTAAAAACCGCAAGAGACCTTTCGTTCAAAATTGCGCCCCTTTCTTCTTCCTTGTGCGAACGTACGTGTACGTCTACGCGAACGTTCATGTCCGATCATAAGGATTTTCGACTCTATAAAATAAAGTCTTGTGGTATGGGTTGAGTGACCGATTTTGAGTGCTTGTTCTTGATTAACGTCTTATCCGATTGAAGTATTTCATATTCCCCGAAATAACTTTGATACGCGATTTGTTATAGTGTCAAGTTCTTCGTTTAACACTGCTTCGTAGTATTCTTCATCATAGAAATCCAATAGACCTTAATCTGCCATTCTCCATCGTTTTCGCCTCCTCACGATCTTCGCTCCTCCCTTTGTTGTCGCCTCTCCTTCGTCGGCCTTCTTCGATGGTCACCCTCTCTCCTCCTTCGCGAACTTCTTTGATTCTGCATCTGTCGTTTCCTTTTATTGGATGTACCCATCTTTGGGTACACCGGGATGTATAATATGATTTGCAATTCATAACGTTGTTTATAATATTAATCAGAATTTATATTATGAATTATGTATAAGCGGTATCTAGTAACATATTATTTTTATCAATTTTTTAAGCATTACGTTTATTTCAAAAATAATAACATTTGTATAACTCTTAATTATTCATTTATCATTAATGACTTTATTTATCACCCGACGAAGAGCTCCAAGAGGTATTCGGTGATGCGCATTGAGCCCCTGATGTGTGGCTGTGGCGCTGGCTTGAACCTTTTGTCGGATTGAGTTGTACGAGCAGGGTTTTTATTACTTATTCAAAGGACACAGTTTAGCACTTCAACCTAAGTTGTAAAATGAACGGATAATTTTGATTCGATTCGTGATTCGTATTCGAAATCAATGATTCATATTCGAAAAAATGAATACGAATAAGAATATAAATATTTATTAGAATTGGAAAGAAAGTGAATACGAATACGAATGTCTATGTATTTGATTCGATATGTTAACGAATATATTCGAATTTAAATATAGAGACTTATACCTAATATATTTGCTTCGTAATAAGAGTACTCCATAGGGGTAAGATTTGCCTACACACATCCTCTTTGACCCTACTCTCGTGGGATCTTACTAGGTTACGTTGTTGTTGTTGTGGACATACCATTCAAATTTAAATACTCTATTAATTTTGGAAAAAGACTAAAGCTGGAGTAAAATATACAAAAATAGGAGTTATATGTTTTAGTCCCGAAATAGGAGTTAAAATGCATTTACAGTACCAATCATGACCATGTATCTTACTAAAAAGTGTTGTGAATTGTTTATATACAGTGCCACATACATTACAACGATGCGGACTCCTATTTTGGAGATAAAACATGATATTCCTATTTTGAAACTTTCTCTATATTTCACTTCTATTTTTTTATTTATTTTTGAAGCTATAAAATGTAAAAAAATAAAAAAAAATGTATTTTATAAAGAATACGAAGCGAATATTTGAATTTTATATCAAATCGAATACAAATGGTAATAATTATTCGAATAAAAAATGAATATGAATAATGGTATTATTTTTCAAATATGAATAAAATTTCATAATATTCAATTCGATTCGTTCGTTTTACAACCGTACTTCTGCCTACGTTAAAAAAAAAGAAATTCCATGTTTGAGACGTACATTTTTGTCTTGGGTGATTTGGGTCCAAAAAACTAAAGTATTTATACGGATTAGGGTATAAACTACAAAGTATAATGCTCCCAAATGAGTACTTCATTGGTCACTTTGGCTTAGACCTGGCAAAACAGAACCGGAACCGGTTACTTGAACCGAAATATCTGAAACCGAAACCGGAATGACCCGAAAAATAAAGATCCGATCTATAATCGAAAACCTGAAATGATCCAAATCAAACCGAAACCGAACTAAATAATTCATATCTGATTTAAATCCGAAACCAATTAGATCCGAAACCGATAATATCCAAACCGATTAAACCCGAAATCGATTAGATCCGAACCCGATAATACCTGAAACCGAAAAAATCCGAAACCGATTAGATCTGAAACCGGTAATATCCGAACCCGATTAGAACTAAAATCGATAAATTCAGAACTATGTTTGCCTTTCAATAAGCATATTATATTTTAAAATTTTTTCTTTTATTTTACCATTTGAACTAATTACATTACTTGCTCATTCCCTCATAAAATGGATTATCTTCTTGAAAAAAAGTACAAAATTTTATGCCTTAAATTTATTATATGTAGAAATTAAAGATAAGTTATACATATAAATGATAACGCACAAACAAATAAAATTTCTGTAATTTTTAAATAATGAAGTGTGATATTCTTTTTGGGACAAAAGGAATATATGATGAATTATTTGGAATAACTAGATTTATCCTAATTTCATCTCATTACAATAAATTTTATTGAATTGAGAGATAATTTGATTAGTTTCAAACCAATTCACTCAATATTAGTCAATAAAATTAGATGCTAGTGTTAGCATTTTGATAAGACTCTCTAGCGGCAGCCTTTACTGTTATCATTTTCAAATGGAACATACGACTATTTGAATTTATCTTTTATCCTTTCATTTATATACAAAAGTATATTAGTAGATGTGAGAAAAATTTGATATTTCCAAACTAAATTTTAAAATCAATTTTATTATATTAAATTTATATCATAATTAAATATATATATGTTTTCGTACTTTGTAGTCCAAATTTGTAAAATATGACTAAAAAGTCAAAAAGGGAAGATTATTTAGGGTAGAGATAATATAACTAGAAAAAAATATAAAATAATATGAGGTATTGAATTGATTACAGATTGATAAATGCGATAAAACATAAAAAGAAACACAGATAGTTAAATTTTAATTAGAAAATAATATATATCCAAAATATATTTGATCTGAAACCGAAATATATCCGAACCGAACTAGACCTGAAACCGAAATATATCCGACTCAAACTGTATCCGAACAGAAATCTATCCGAACGAATTTATAACCGAACCGTATCTGAACCGTCTCGAAACCAAACCGAACCGAAAAATGTATAGAACCGAAATCAAATTCGAACCGAAATTTAGCCGATCCGAACCGAACCGAACCGATTATAACATACTCCCTCCGTCCCGGAGTATTCGTCCAGTTTTGACTTTTGGAACTGTTCATCTAAGCACTTTGACTCATCAAATTCTCTCAATGTGTAAGCCTAAATATAGTTATGTGTGATCTTGTTTGATTTGTCTTAACATATAGATTATTAATATATAATTGAGTAAATTATATAAAAGGTCCCCAGTTATAGGTCGTTTTACATATTTAGTCCCCACATATCAAATATTACTAATATAGTCCCCAATTATTATATTCATTTCCACGAATGGTCCTTTGTTAACATTTCCGTTAAGAACGTGGATAAAATTGTATATTCATACTTCTCTCTCTCCTCAATTAAGCTTTCTTCGTCTTCTCATACTCTTTCCGAAACTCGTCGCTGAGTTTGAAACTCTTAAACCCAAAATTTAAATGATCGTTCCTCCAGTTAGACAAACAACTGAGAGAAGAGTGATGATTTTGGTTTAGGGTTCAATGCTAGAAACTCAGCGACGGGTTTGAGAAAGGAGTACAAGGGAGGAGAAAGCTTAATTGAGGAGAGAAAGGAGTGTGAATTTATAATTTTATCCACGTTTTAATGAAAATGTTAACAAAGGACCATTCGTAGAAATAAATATAATAATTGGGGACCAAATTAGTAATATTTGATATGTAGGGACTAAATATGTAAAACGACCTATAACTGGGGACCTTTTAT